TAAGGAAAAAATATTTTTTGTGACTGTGTGAAGTGATAGATGTTAACTCATTGTGGTAGTATTTCACAACATATACATATATCAAATCATGGTTATACACCTTAAACTTACACAACATTGTATGTCAATTATACCTCAATAAAACTGGAAAAAATAGAAGGAAACCGAAAATATCTATTTCACCACACCTTTACCCATAATAAATAATTCATTCCTGCCTGCATTTAAAAATATTTATTGTCATAAAAGGACAAATAGTTTATGATTCCACTCATATGAGGAACCCAGATGAGTCAAATTTATAGAAACAGAAAGTAGATGATGGGGCCAGGGGCTGGGGAGGGGAATGCGGAGTCAGTGTTTAACGGGGACAGAGTTCCAGGTTTGCAAGATGAAAAAGTCTGGAGATGGATAGTGGTGAAGGTTGCACAGCAATGTGAATGCTGACTGCCACTGCGCTGTACTCTTAGAAATGGTTAAAATGGTAAATGTTATATTTTAGCAATTAAAAAACATTTAAAAATTTATTGCATGCCTATTAGGTGCCTGGCACTGTTCTAGGTGCTAGGAATATAGCTGTGAATCAGGGACAAACATTTACTGCTTCTGACAGACTTGTATTCCAGGGAAGCTGTTATCAGTCAAAATTTTTGCTAATATAATTGGTAACAATGTTATCTTACTGCTTTAATGGCATTGTTCTAGTTACTAGTAGGTTTAGTATATTTTCATATATTTGTGCACCATTTGTATTTCTTCTGTGAAGTGCCTGTTCATATCATTTGCTCATTCTTTTCTATTGGGTTGTCTTTTTCTTATTAACTTGCAGGAGCTCTTTGTATTTTATGGCTCTTACCTCTTTGCCTATTTATATGTCCCAAATACCTTCTCTAAGTCATCGGCTTTGCTCTGGGCTTTTCTCCCTCTCTGTCCCTGCCCCCGCCACGTTTCTGGCTTCTGGTTCTTTGCTTCTGATGATGTTCCCCGTCCTAGGATTTACAAGCAAATTTTTCTTGTATTTTATTCTAGTACTTTGATAGCTCCCTCCCGCCTCTGGTGGAGTCTTCTGGGTAGCGGTCCCATCGCCACTGTCCACCGCCCATTTGTGGGACATCTCTGTACCGGGAGAGGTGCAGGGGCCTGCTGGCCACCCAGGCAGGAGACGGCAGTGCCTCAGGTACCCACGTCTACTTTTCAGCATCTAGGTGGCGCCTCCTGGCTGCGCGTGTGGCCGCTCCTGAGCAGCTGGTTTGGAACTGGGCTGGAAGGTGGTTCACGTGGTCAGAGCACCGGGCTTCAAACAGTACATCCTGCAAAGAAGGGCCGTCCAGGATCCTCCCTTCTGTGAGGCCACTCATGCCTGATTTTCCCAGACCAGCATTTGCCATGATCTGGTTCAGACACCAATAGTCTGAAGAAAGAATACAGCCTCAGGGGAACCTCAACAAATCAAGCAGGCCTTGAAGACGGCCTTGGCTGGCCACGCTGACCCCGCCTCTTCCAATCTGTCCTAAACAAGACACATAAACGGGCAACACAGAACGCGTGAACGCTGAACACCACGGCAGAGGGTCAACCTTCTGCTAAATCCGGGAAGGCTTTGCCCTGATGGAAAGACAGGCGGGGTGGAGGTAAAATCACACGAAGGCAGGCCTCTCTGGCCCTGCTGGACACACCCTGGACGTGCCTCGTGATGCAGGGACCAGCTCAGAGGGAGCAGAGGGCTCCGGCCCCATGCCCACAGCACAGACCGGCCTCGTCCACTAGGAAGGGACCACAGCCACACTCCCCATCCACCTCCTCTAGTCTTTACGCATCGATTCGAAGATGTGCTTGGTCACCGGCTGGGAAGGAAGGAGAGTAGGGAATCTAGCCAAGGTGACCAGCCTTCTGGGAAGCGTATTTGCCAACTCAAGCACTGGAGGCCATGGCCGGGGTAGGACAGTGCCTGCTGGGAATGGCGTGTGTTTTGAATGGGCTATTTTTTTTAAATTTTAAATTAACATTAAAATATTTGAGTAACATTAATAACATTTTTTTTGAAGATGTTGGGGGTAGGAGTTTATTAATTAATTTATTTATTTTTGCTGTGTTGGGTCTTCGTCTCTGTGCAAGGGCTTTCTCTAGTTGTGGCAAGTGGGGGCCACTCTTCATCGCGGTGTGCGGGCCTCTCACTATCATGGCCTCTCTTGTTGCGGAGCACAGGCTCCAGACGCTCAGGCTCAGTAGTTGTGGCTCATGGGCCTAGATGCTCCGCGGCATGTGGGATCCTCCCAGACCAGGGCTCGAACCCGTGTCCCCTGCATTAGCAGGCAGTGAATTGGCTATTTTTAAAAACTATCAGTTTTAGGTTCACAGCAAAATTGAGCGGGAGGTACAGAGATGCTCCCTACGCAAGCACACACAAGCACAGCCTCTCCCATAATGCACACCCCCACTGGGGTGGCACGTTCTGTTAGAATTAATGAACCTCCACTGACACATCATGGTCACCCAAAGTCCAGAGTTTACGTTAGGGTTCACTCTGGTGTACATTTGATGGGTTTGGACAAGTGTATAATGACGTGCAGCCACCGTCACAGAGGACAGTTTCACTGGCCTAAAAACCCTCTGTGCCCTGCCTGTTCTATTCACCCCTTCTCTCTCCCCAGTCCCTGGCAACCACTGGTCTTTTTACTGTCTCCATAGTTTTGCCTTTTCCAAAATGTCACATAGGTGGAATCATGCAATAAGTAGCCTTTACAGATTGGCTCCTTTCACTTTGAATATGCATTGAAGTTTTCTCCACATCGAGTCATCTCGAGAGCCCACTCCTTTTCAGCGCTGAATAGCATGACATTGTCTGGATGCGCCACCGTTTACTAAGCCATTCACCTAATCTTGGTTGCTTCTGAGTATCAGCAATTATGGGTAAAGCTGTTATGAACATTCCCAGGCAGGTTTCTGTGTGGACACGTTTTCAGCTCTTTGGGTAACTACCAAAGGGTGTGACTGCTGGATCATATGGCAAGCGAAGGTTCAGCTTTGTGGGAAACTGCCACACTGTTCTCTCCACCACTGACTGTGTCCTGTGCCTACACGTACTCACCCGCAGGCGAGCCAACACCGCTTCTCGGGCCTCATGTCCGTTAGCACTGAGGGGCTAAAGCTTCGAACACGAGGAAGGCCAGCCCAGCCTGCAAGGGGCCCCAGACCCGGCAGGGAGACAGTTGCCGGCATCGTGGCGACACCAGGGCCCCTCGCCCCACCTGAACGTGCAATTCCATCGCAAACACCCATGGTCCTGGATGTAATGCCAGTGGCAGCTGGAGTAGCTAGAAGACTTTTCAGAGGAAGGCCTTTTAAGCATCCAACTGAAGAAATGAGTCAACAGATCTCCCGCCTCTGATGGCCCTGACAGGTACGCAGCGCTGACTGCTTAGGTGACAGACGATGAAACCTGCAGCCGCAGAGGACGAGAAAAATTAACTGCCGTTCATGAAACTGGACCACAAGTTGCCCAACGAAAGCAGTATTTCACGGTTCGGTTTTCCTTCTGCATTTAGTCACGGAAGTGGCACTGCCGGCTCTGGGAGGAGGGGCGGGTTCTCGGCGTGACGTCTGCCGCTTCCCCACCAGCACTGAGTGGCCGTGCGGCAGCAGGGATGAGAAGTGGTTCATTTTAAACTCTAATGGATTTACACAAAGACCATTCTCTTCATTCTTCTAAAACCCAAGCCCTAATTATCTCGGTGCCTGGGGGCCTTGGTGATACAGCTGCAAACACCACACCACGTAGCTTTGCTGTATGAAAATTATTTTCTTCCTAAAAGGACATTATTTCTTCTGCATGTGGGCCAGACTGTGCCTGTACTCCAGCTCTGAACCCACTCAGTGTCTCTAGGGCCGAGCATGCACCCCTCTCCCCCCACGCGGTGTGCAGAGCCCTCGACTGGGTAGGGCTGCTCTGAGTGCGACGCGGGGAACTTCACCCGGGAGGGGATGATGGATGTTGGGTTGTCCGGGGTTTGCTCGGTCCAGAAAGCTCAGGGGGGCAGTTGAGAGTCAGACGTGGGCAGGAGTCAACGCAGCGCTTGCTGTGACGGAGAAAGTGATGCCAACCGTTGCTTTTTCTCCTAGAACTTTTCTAATAGGAATGGATCTCGCTGTCAGGAAGGCTGGAGGCCATTAGAAGTGAGCTATGGCGAAGGTGATTTCCTGGCCACGTGGACCGGTAGGGCTTGGTGCACTTGGACTTGGCTTTATTTTTTTTTTTTAGTCAAACAAGAATCAATATTTAAGATTATGCAATGTCCAAACCAGCCTGAAGTAACTGCCAATCCGAGGACAAGAGCTGGATAATTTACAGAGCAAGGAATCCATTTTTTTTGAGAGGGGGAAGGGAAAAATCAAGATTTAAGCTTTTTATCTTGGGCTGAACTTTTCTCCTCCATTCTTAATGGCACCAGACATAAATAAACCATCCATTTTGTTTTGTATGAACGGTCTGTACTTTGCACACACTCTGAGCAAACGACAGGCCAGTTTTAGATCCTGACCACAGGTCTGAGCCGTAACCACCTTGTAAACAACACTCATTTATGTTTTTCCAACTTACAGCGCTGTCCTTGAGCCCAATCAAAATCTACCCTCTTATTCTTTTGCCCCTACAATCAGCAGAGAAAGTCTTTTTATTGTCAGCTACTAATGGTTCTTCTGTACCATATTTTAAATGTGAAGATTAAATATTTATACATGTCTCGTCAACAGCATCCCATAACTGGCCCTCCCGAAGCCGCAGACGTGGGCGGTGCACACGCACACAGAGTCAGAGGCCGCGGGGCATGGGAGCGGCAGCACGGGCTGTAGCGAGCACAGCACCTGCTGTCACCGGGGCCCGCACTCTCATTGCCGGCGCAGGGCCTGTGTCTCAAGAAGCCTGCGTCGCGGCCAGGCTTTGTCCCCAGTTACTGGGATCACTGGCCTCTGCTACCCTAGAGGTGACCCCCCAGGTGACCCACCTGGACACTGTTCGTCTCAAGGTGTCTGCAGGAGGAAGCCAGGAAGCACTGCCTCTTCCCCGCCACCTGGAAGTGAAGCGCAGCAGGAGTCGGAGTCTGATGGACAAACCAGCGGGGGGCCGGGCAGGACGCTGTGCACAACTCTGCAGCGGCAACGAGAGGGCCACGCGGGTCCTGAGGGGACGGGGCGGGGGCCCTGGGCACTGCCACGGGGCCACGTCCAGCACGGCTTCAGGAGCTTCTCTAGGCCTGGCTCGAGCCCTCGGTGAGCGGAAGTTCTCAGCCCTGAAACAGACGGGCCGGGAGGGAGCCATGGGCCTGGGAAGTGGAGACGGCGCGGCAGGAGGGCCCCGGGCACTTCGGAGCAAACTGCACCACCTCGTGGGGGCAGCCGACCCGCCTTCTCCCCACGGGGCCATTAACACCCCGGACAGGTCGGCAGAGCCCAGCTGTGACGGAATCCGGAAGGGCCCGGCTGCGGGGGCGGAAGCGTGGGTCACGGGGGTGGAACCGGACGCAGCGCGGGACGCGCGGGAAGCCCCGCCCTCCCACCGCTGTGAGCTCTGCAGTGGGGGTGGGGGTGGGGGCGGTGGCTCGGTGGACGCCACTGAATCACAAGCTGATCGATACCCTTTCAGGCTGGGAAAGCCCTGCCGGCGACTTGAAGGAAAGAAGCAGTGCACAAGCAGCCCGGCTCGCTCTCCCGCTCGAACAAACGGCAGAGGAGAGGAAAGTCCACCTCCCTTTCCTGCGCTGCTGACCGGGGGCACCTGGGAACCCAGCTTGCCCGAGGGGAGCTCCTCGGCCCGCAGTCTGGATGGACAGTGCCTGGGGGCACGGTGGGCAGGTGGGCCCAGAGCTCGGCCCGGCTCAGCCCTGAGAGCCCAGAGGCCTCCGTCTGCGTACTCGCCTCTTGGGAAGATTGTGAGTTTCCGTGAGACGCACAAGGTCCACACAGGAGCTTCAGAAACTGTAAAGTGCTGCGCGGGTGTCAAGACTATTCTTGTTTCCACACGCGAACGATTCATGGAATCAGTGACCCCAGTCCTTCCTCAAAAGGAGCCAGCAAATACCCAGGTAGGGCAGGACTGGCATAAACCCCCGGAGACCGAAGCGGGTCTGGAATCCCCGTGGGCGTGCCGCTGCCCCCGCCCCAAGCGACGGCAGGCTCCGGGGGGCAGGCCAAACCTTGGGGGCTCTCGTCTGGACCAGCAGGGGAAGGACACGAACGCGCAACCCTGGACCATGACCCTCAAGGCGTCTGGGACAGGAGCTGGAGGACTCGAGCCCTCCGCTAACAGCGAGGCATGGATAAGGCCACACCGGCCATCATGGAGACGGAACCGGCCGGCCGTCGGCCGGGAGGCAGCCCGGGAGGACGTGCGCCTCAGGTGGGCCAGCTCGGGGGCCGCCGGCTCTCGTAACCGCCGCGACGACGCTGATGGGCACATATTGATTTCCTCAGTGCCTCTCCGGAGCCCCAGAGCACTTGGCGCACTTACTGGAAAGTGCCTGAAACCAAACAGAAGACAGGCCCAATGAGGAGAATCAATCCAAACGTTAAGGGTATCTGAGGGCTTAGGAGCAAATGGGGAGAGACAACAGGTATTCAGCCTCCCCCAGATCCAAACACTTACGGAAGACGCTCTGCCCCACGCCATTCAATATCCTGCTACCGCCTTGCCAGTAAAACGGAAAGTAAGAGGTTAGTGTCTGCGCACTGCTGGTAGATGGACCCGGCTTTCAGGGAAAGGCCTCAGATGGTCTGCAGATCTACACGCGCTAAACGGCGCCCTGGGCAGTTGCCTGCCCAGCGGTCCCACCCCCGGCCCCCTCAGGCTGCCTTGGGCCCTCGCTCGACACCCAGGCCGGCCCTCACAAAACCACACCGTTTTCTTAAAAGTTTCTGCTTGGAAATAATTTCAAACCGACAGGAAAGCTGGCGGAACAGAACCACGTAGCGCACGCCCACCAATCCTTCGCCCAGATTCACGTCCTGCTGAGAGCATCGTTGCTGATCTCCTGCCTATTTTTTCTGAGCCGCTTGGGAGGGACGCATTGTGGGTATTCATCCCAAACTTTCAGGGTGTGTCTCAGGGGTCAGGGCACTGCTTCCAACTTCAGTAACTGCAGCATCGACGCAGAACTTCAATCGACCAATAATGCCCTTCCCACACTCCCTTCTAACCTAGGACCCGTCCAGGAGCAGGGATTGCAGTTAGCTGCCCTGTCTCCTTACTCTCCTTTCCTCTGGAACATTCTCACCGCCTCTGTCTTCTCTGACATTGATGTTTTCTAAGAAAAATCCTTGTTCACAGCAGCTTTCACCCCGGGCTGCTGGGCTATAAGAGCCCGCTGTGTCTCCCACAGACACGGGGACCAGATCAGCCTGGGTCGCCCAGCTGTGGCCACGTGTGTTCAGAACCCATGGACGGCGGCATCTGGTGCTGGAGGGGTCAGGCCTGAGGCTGCCCACGTGAAGGTACTCCTGAAGTGGGCACGGGGCGTGCAGAGGGTGCACGTCGCTCCGGGCAGCGCTCTTTGGCCACAGACTCGTGATGCAGGCGGCAGCCCCTCAAGGGTCAGCGCTCAGGGGACCAGCTCCCGGCTGAGCCTCACCTGCAGCATCAAAGACGGGCATGGACGCCGAGGACCCCGTTTCACCTTTGGCTGAGAGCGAACTTGACAAAGACCGATATTAAAAGTGATCTTTCTCTTCTTGGGATCATCTCCCCCATGGAGCCCTGTAGGCAGCTTTGCAGAACCCCGCGGAGTCCAGGGAAGCCCAGGGAAGCAGAGCAGCCTCTGAACACAGCCGCCCCCTCACCTTTCCCTAACTTTGGTAACACGTGGGGAAATGAATTGGGAGCTGGAAGGAGAAAGAAGGATGAACGGGCATGCGGCGCAGAGTCCTGAGACGGGATGGTCAAGGCCTGCCCCTCAGCCCAGGGTCCTGTGTCTACGACGGGCTCTGTGCCCTCCCAGGGGGCCGGGGCCGCAGACTCCAGAGGAAGGTAGGAGCACCCATGCTTGTGCAGAGGAAGCGGGGCCTTGGGAGACGGAGGCCTCCGGGCTGCGTCCGGGGTCTCCATCACACTGCTGGACCAGGCCGGTGGTCTCGAGCCTGTGGGCCGGAGCGACTCTGAACGGCTTCCTCCCTCTGCAGCTCCACTCTGGGGAAGGGGCCCTGACAGACGTGTTAGTACTAAATAGTTCCCTTAGGAAGAAGAGAAGGGAAGGGAGGGGTCTGGGGAGGAACAGGGGGCAGTGGAGAGAGAGGTGAGAGCGAGCGAGCTGCAGCGCGATGCAAGAAGAGCACAAGCCTTGTTCCCTAAACCCCCAGGTGCCACTGCACCGTGACACGAAAGCCCACAGGGAAAAGGGCTGCGGCAGTTCCCGTGCGGAACTATACTTTATCAGTCGCCAGTGTTCACCATTCTGAGGCTCATACAGGGAGGAGGCCCCCTTTGGAACTGATCTCACTCATGAACATTCTGTGACGTGGAGCCAGACAGGGTGAATCGGTATAGGATAAGATACAGAAGGAAGAGATGAGCTTTAAAAATCCCCAAACAAAACCCCTGCTGTTTGCAAGCAGAATTTAGAGAGAATGTAAAAGAATTCGGATTACCTAGCTGATTGGAAAATAAAAGTATTTCACATTTTCAGATTGGACAGTCAGCAAAATATTCCTAAAGGAACACATGGCCTCAGAGTAAAGACGGAATTAAGGGTATGACTCTAAGAGCTCAGACCACGTTTAAGAGTCTTACAGACCCTCTCAGCAAGAGAAAGAGGGCTTCTAAAAACCTGAGGGGCATTGTCTCATAGAATCCTGACATGTCCAAAGTAGAGAGAGGTCTGTCTTGAAAAGAATTACAGTTGTGACTTCTAGGGGCATAGAGGAAACGCTGAGAAGACTCACAGGAGACCTACAAAAATTTTAAGAGAATTATATTAATAAGAGCACTACCAGCTGGACTAAGGGCGGGGGGGGCAATACTGTTCAAGATGAAAAGGCGATTCTGGGCCTCCAGATTTCTATGAGCAGAAAGAAGACAGAGAAAGCTACTGATCTTCAAACATGGGTCAATTCTGATGGAAAAGAATCACTAGAGAGCAGAACAAGAGGACATTGGAGGGCTTCTCTGGTGGCGCAGTGGTTGAGAGTCTGCCTGCCGATGCAGGGGACACAGGTTCGTGCCCCAGTTCGGGAAGATCCCACATGCCGCAGAGCGGCTGGGCCGGTGAGCCATGGCTGCTGAGCCTGCGCGTCTGGAGCCTGTGCTCCGCAATGGGAGAGGTCACAACAGTGAGAGCCCCGCGTACTGCAAAAAAATAAAATAAAATAAAATTGCAGCTGTAATTAAAGATCTCTCACAAAGAAAACTCCAGGCTCAGAGGGCTTCACTGGCAAATGCTACCAAATATTTGAAGGAGAAATAAGATAAATCTTACATAAACTCTGTCAGAGAAGAAAGAAAGAGGCAGCACTTTCTGACACATTTTGTAAGTCCGGTATAAGCCTGATATAAAAACTTGAGAATAATGAAAGAGGAAAGGAAATTACAGGCCAATATCTTTCTTGACCAGAGACACAAAAATCATTCACAAAATATTAGCAAATTAAACTGACAATATATAAGAGAATACACCATGACCAACTGAGCTTATTCTAGGAATGCAAGGTTATTTTAACATTTGAAGATCAATTGTAATTCACCACATTAGTAGAGCAAGGAGAACAACCATTTAATCATCTCGATAAGTACAAAAAAACCATTTGACAAATTCAACTCATTCATTTTGAAAACTCTCAGCAAACAACGAATGGAAGGAACTTCCTCAATGAGATAAAAAGGCATCTATGAGAAACCTACAGCTAACATCAGGCTCAGTGGCAAGGACCTGAGTGATTTTCCCTCAAGATGGTGACCATGGCAAGAATGTCCATTCTTTTCACTTTTAGTCAACACTGACTGGAGGTTATGACCAGTGAAATAAGATAAGAAAAAGAAATGAAATGCATAAAAATGGGAGAAGAAGTAAAACTCGCTCTTGCCCCACGGATGAAATGATTATACATGGAGAAAATCCTAAGTAATCTAAAAGAAAACTACTAGGATAAATTAGTAAATTTTTTAAGGGTGTAAAATTCAAGGACAAAATAAAATACTAATTGAGTCAATGTCATGAAAGAAAAGGACAGTGTGAGAAACTGTCAAAAACTGGAGGAGGCTAAGGAGATATGATGAGTAAATGCAATGTGGTGTCTGGACTGGACCCTGGATCAGAGAAAGAACATCAGTGGGAAAACTGGCGAGATCTGAATAAAGTCTGTAATTTAGTTAATAGTACTTACCAACGTTAATTTCTTACTTTTGACAGTTGTACCGTTGTTACATAAGACGTTAACATGACAGGAAACTGGGTCAAGGGCATATGGGAACTCTTTGTACTATCTTTGCAAGTTTTTTAAGTCTAAAGTTATATCAAAATAAAAAGTTTAAGAACACAGAAGACATCACTGGAGGCTTCTTGAATGAGACGGAAGCAACATGGCTCTGGTGGCAGCTACAGCAGCAGGTGCTCCACCAGGCCAGGTTCCTGTGTGAGCCCAGAAGCTGTTCCTGGGAGCTCAGCCCTTGAACTTCCTGCCAGTGATTCTGTAGCTACATAATGCCCTGTAGTAAATTTCTTGCTTAAGCAGCAAAAGTCACTGCTAAGAAAATGAAAAGGCAAGCTGCAGACCAGGAGAAGATATTTCTACCATATATACTCACACGGAGGAATTGCTTCTAGACTATACAGAGAGGTGTACAGGTGTCGACACTGAGGTGACAAATAGGAAAATGAGGAGGGAGTAAACAGCCATGTCATCAGGGAGATTATAAAAAAAAAAAAAGAGCCAGTTTTTTAAGGAAACTCCATATACGACCCAGCAATCCCACTACTGGGCATATACCCTGAGAAAACCATAATTCAAAAAGAGTCATGTACCACAATGTTCACTGCAGCACTATTTACAATAGCCAGGACATGGAAACAACCTAAGCGTCCATTGACAGATGAATGGATAAAGATGTGGCACATATACACAATGGAATATTACTCAGCCATAAAAAGAAATGAAATTGAGTTATTTGTAGTGAGGTGGATGGACCTAGAGACTGTCATACAGAGTGAAGTAAGTCAGAAAGAGAAAAACAAATACCGTATGCTAACACATATATATGGAATCTTAAAAAAAACCAAAAAGTTCTGAAGAACCTAGGGGCAGGACAGGAATAAAGATGCAGACGTAGAGAATGGACTTGAGGACACGGGGAGGGGGAAGGGTAAGCTGGGACGAAGTGAGAGGGTGGCATGGACATATATACACTACCAAATGTAAAACAGATAGCTAGTGGGAAGCAGCCACATAGCACAGGGAGATCAGCTCGGTGCTTTGTGTCCACCTAGAGGGGTGGGATAGGGAGGGTGGGAGGGAGACGCAAAAGGGAGGGGATATGGGGATATATGTATATGTATAGTTGATTCACTTTGTTATACAGCAGAAACTAACACACCATTGTAAAGCAATTATACTCCAATAAAGATGTTAAAAAAATAAAAAATAAAAGAAATAAAATGCACTGATACAAAAAAAAGAATGAATAAACAAACTGTGGAATATTCTTACAATGGAATGTTACTCAGCAATAGAACATGAGCTTTGGATTCAGGTAACACTACAGCTGACTGCACAAGCACCGCGTGGAGTGAAAGAAGCCCAACAACAAAGGGTGCCCACTGGGCGATTCCACTCACAGCAAGTTCACAACAGAATGAATCCACGGTGACGGGAGCAGAACAGGGCGGCCTGTGGGGGAGGGGATTGACTGGAAGGGGGCAGGGGGGAAGTTCCTGAAGCGACGAAGAAGTTCCATGTCTTTAAAATTTTTTTAAATTGAGGTAACCAATACGTAATGTCAAAAGCTACGTTTTAACCACTCTGCACAGCTCAGTGGCACCGAGGACATCCACCCTGCTGTACAGGCACTGCCACCATCCATCTCTGGAACTTCTTCAGCAGCCCCGACTGAAACCCTGCACCCGCTAAACACTAACTCGCCATTTCCTCCTCCCCCAGCAACCACCACTCCTCCTGTCTCTGTGGATCTATTATTCCAGGTGCTTTGTATAAGTGGAATTATGTAATATTTGTCCTTTTATATCTGGCCTATTTTATTTGGCATTATATATTCAAGTTTCTTCCACGCTGTAGCAGGTGTCATAATTTCCTTACGAAGGGTAAATAATATTCCACTCTATGGATGGACCGCATTTTGTCTGTCTATTCATCCAATGATGGATAATTTATGTTGTTCCCACCTTTTAGCTGTTGTGAATAACGTTACCAAGAACAAGACATGAGTGTGCAAACACCTGATAGCGAAAAGTTCTGCATCTTGACTGGGGTGTTGGTTACGCAGCGGGATACATTTTCAAAGCTCACTATACAGGGCACTTACAACCTGTGAAGTGGCACACCCCTCGTGCCCTAACCACAACAGGCCTTAGGTATAGCCCTCCGTTCCCTCTGCTCCCCTCTACTCACCCCTGCCGCCTCGGGGGCTGGGGAGGAAAGCCCCCTCCCACTTCCTCCAGCTTGAGCCAGGGCTCCCCACCTGTCCCCCGTCACTCAGTTCAACCCCCATGCGCCGACAGGGAGTCACACTGCGTGTGGGGGACAGCAGGCCTCCAGGGAGACACCGGGGGTGGGCCCCCTGCACCCCACAGCACTCTGGGCTTTGTCTACTCACCCCCCGATCTTCCCTCTTTGCAGCTGAGCCCCTGGAGGCAGCCTGCCCCCGTACAGCAGCCGTGGGGCTGAGCAGGCCATGTCCGCTGCCATCGGGGAGGGGTCTGTGCCCCCTGAGCAGTTCCTGGGGTTCCTCATACAGAGGGCGTCAGGCTCTGCCAGCACCTTCGGAATGACTCGCATATGTTTTTTAACAAGTCAACAGGAGAGTTGAAATAGGCTTAAGGCCCTCTTGCTTTCCTTGAAGAAAGTTCTGTATTGTATTAATAAAGAGAAACAGTAGGAATCGTGGCAAAAATAATAAAAAAGACAGCTCTGTTGGGGAGGAGGTGCCGCAGCTCTCCCTAGGGGATGGACGTCTACTCTGGAGCTAATTCTTTTCTGAAATAAGTTTGATCTGTCCTCACAGATGATCAAAGCAGCGTGCGGCCCATGAGGACGAGCGGGATGCTGGAAATGCTGGAGGCGAGCTCCCGGTCTTGGAGGAACACAGCCCGCGTTTTCCCTGCCTCGGCTTCCACGTGCTGGGAGTGGGATCCATCCACAGCCCAGTCCCGGTGCCCCGGCATCAGCCGTGGGCAAGCGGGTCAGGTGGGGCTCCGGGCGAGGCATCCAGGAAGGGCAGAGGAACCCCTAACCCTAACTCCCAGGCGCTCCCCGCACCGCTGGCCCCTCCAGCCCGACGCAGGGTGGGGCGCTCCGCCCTGAGCCAGCTGCCGCCCAGCCTGTAGCCAAAGGCAGCCGAAGTCCCCGCCTCCCCTGCGCCCGTCCCCAGAGCCAGTCCACACCCGGGCAGGGCACAGAGAACAGTGCTCGTTACTGGTTTACCCTCCTGTGGGGCCCGGCAGGTTGTTCCTGAAGACCACAAGGTCCCTGAAAAGCCTGGCTCAGCGCACGGCCCCGGCTGCCACGGCCTTGCTCTGGGTCTCTCCGCTTGAGGTCAAGGGTGAGAAGCCGCTCTCCGACCCAGGTCCAACTGGGCGGGACTCTCACAGCCTAGAACAGGCTGGCCCTGGGCCGTCCTCAAGCCTTTCAAGCACTTTCTAATTTTCCTGGCTGTTTTTCAAAAGCTCCTTTTTCTCCATAAATTGACCTTTAAGAGTGGTTATTTGATATACAAAGCAGACAGCTTGTCATTACTTAATTCCTTAAATGATACACCAGCATTTGGACAAAGGATATACTAGCATTTCATAAATGTTAACACCTATATAAAATATCGTATTGTTGTCAATAATATCAAGATATTAGTAATGCCAACACTGTCAGGATACCTTTGACTAATTAAACTGTATCAATATTAGGGTTCAATTTGAAAATAGTACCCTAATTGTAAAAAAACTCCAAAGGAAGGCCTTTTTAGTTAGAAATAAAACGA